TCTATTCCAACAGCCCCTTCAGACTTTTTCACTGGGTCTGTCTCTCCCAGACCCACTCACTTTCTTTGATTCCCCCTCAATATTTCTCCTCCTAATTCCAGGCATTCTTCACACTAACTTCTAAGTTCCCCAAATCAGAAACTAAGCTTATTCATTGCTATATTTATTCCCACAGCCTAATCTAATACCTGGCATATAGAAACCACACAGTAAGGATTTATTAACTTGATATTTCATTTTTACAATCTCTAAACTCCAGGGTGTCTCCTTTTTTCCTATTTAATTACATAAGACATAAATATAGTCCAATAAAAATTTCAAACAAAACATAAAAAGCTCTCTTCATCAGGTCTCCAGTTCAGTTCCTCCACCAAAAAATCTCACTGCTCAAAGGTAACCCTTGTTAACAGACCAGTGTATATACACCCAGACCTTTCTATTCATTAATAAAATATTTTTAATGAATTAAAAAAGTATTTTGAGACCTTACTAAAAATATTTTAGAGTTTGTTTTTTCCATTAAATATACTGGAACATTTTCCCACATTAATATATAGAGTTCTGGGAGTTTTTGTTCTTGTTCTTGTTTTTCAAGAAACTTGATAGTATTTCATGGTATGCGTGCATGCTAAGTCACTTCAGTTGTGTCCAACTCTTTGTGACCCCATGGACTGTAGCCTACCAGGCTCCTCTGTCCATGGGATTCTCCAGGCAGGAATACTGGAGTGGGTTGCCATGCCCTCCTTCAGGGAATTTTCCCGACCAGGGATTAAACCTATGTCTCCTGCAACTCCTGCATTACAGGCAGATTCTTAACCACTGAGCCACCAGGGAAGCCCATTTCATGGTATACTGCACCATAATTTTTAAGCAATTCCCTGTTGACAGACAACTGGTTATTGACAATTTTTCTATTTTAAATAATGCCTAATAAACACTACTCTTCAGATACTTTTGGATACATGTGCAAATATTAATAGACATCAAGGAGTAGAACTGCTGTGTTGGTGAGTATAAACTCAGTAAGTATAAACTTAATTGCTGGATCAAATAAATACATTTGAAATTGCGATAAATACTATCAAACTGTTTTCCTAAAATGATATACCCATCTATACATCCACTAAGACCAAATGAGAGGATCCATATCTCACATCTTTCTGAATGCTGAAATAATCTTTTTAATTCTTGTCCATTAGATATACAAGATGGAAAATGGCATCAAACCATTGTTCTATTTCTCATCTCTTTGACATTAATGAAACTGAATATATTTTCATGTTAACAGCCATTTGTAATACTTCTGTGAACAGACTTATCCTCTGCACATTTACCATTTAGTTGTCTCTTTCTAGTGAATCACAGGGGCTCTTTATATTATGCGGATATTGTTACACATGCTAGAAACACTATTTGCCAGCTTGTTGTTTTTCTTTAACTTTTTAAAAGATAATAATTCATTAAACACCACTTTTTAATCTTTATGTAAGCTAAATCTGTCAATATTTTTCTTTGTGGTATTAGGGTCGGTATTCGATTAGAAGGGCCTTCCCAACTCTAAGATTTAAAACTATATGCTTTCCTAACACTTTTATAGCACTTTTGTTGGTTGATTTTTGTTTTGTTTTCATTAAGACTGTCAATCTTCTGGAATTAATTTTTGTGACTGAAGTAGGAGGCATCTAAGTTTCTATTTATTCCAACCAAAAATAAAGTTGTAAATAATAAAAAAAAAATAATAATAAACAATAAGAAGAAATTATTTTTATTAAAAAAATAAAAATTAAATTTCAATGTACTCATGGTGTATAGTTTATGAATAGAATAAAGTAGTAAACTGTCTAGAGCAGGGATCGGTAACCTTTTTCTGCAAAAGGCTAGATAGTAAATATTTTTTTGGCTTTGTGAGGCATATATAGTCTTTTTGACAATCACTTACTTCTCATATTGTAACACAAAAACAGCCACAGGCAATATGGAAATAAATGAGTGTAGCTGTGCTCCAATAAAGCTTTATTAACAAAAACAAACAGTAGGCCTAATTTGGCGTTTAGACTGTAGTTCGCTGACCCTTTCTAGAGAGAATCAACAACATGTAGAATAACAGGAGGTTATGAATTTGAAGATGTCACATTTTACACTTCTGATGGAGACCTTTCACTAGAAACAATAAAAGATCTGCAACAAATCCAGGAACATTAGAATGAAACAGTGCTGTGAATTCCATATACATATTTTTTTTTATTTTAAAGCACAAAAATTAAAATCAATGTCTGTATTCAGAAAGGTTGGTAACCTACCTTAAATTTCTTGCCACCATCTTTGGAAAGTGAAAGGTTCAGAGATTTTATCAAGGCCAAATTTTCCTGTTTAGTAAGTTTTTTAACAAGGGCTTCTGTAATATATCGAACTCCTGCATGTGAATCAGCTTCTGAAGTTATACAAACAGATCATTATCAGAAGAGGAAGACATAAATACTTTGAGAAACAAACTGTCCTGATGTTATACAACAACAACAACAATTTAAACCATGCAATTGTAAAAACAGTTGGCTAGTTCTAATTGGAATGTTTAAATAATATTTTACTTTATGTAGCATTTCATAATGATGACAATAAGTTATATTTCATAAATATTAACTGTGTGCAAGCTTTGTATTAAGTACTTGACATTAAAAAATGTAATTTGTACAACAAACCTTGGTGATAGAAATTACTATTCTTCTTTATAAAAAAATTAGAAAAACAATTTGTTCAAGCTCTTGCAGCTAAAAATGTGCAAATCTAGGACTTGAACCTAGGCAGATGAATCTAAAATTTATACTTTTAAGTACAGGCAGCACTGAGGTTTTCGGCAGCATTTTAATGTTAGTTTTTAAAAAAATATATTGGATTATTTAGTTTTTTGTTTTAAACAATTCTAATCAAGTTAAAAAATACTAGAATTCTTAAAAATTTCCTTTTCCTATTTTTTGTTATGGTAGGAAACTCAAATTTGTTGCTCTTTTAAATATAGGGGATCACAATATATTTTATAGAGCTAAAGTACTAACTTAATGGATAGCATACCCTGTCTCAAGACCTTCCTGGATATTCAATCAGAGCTTATTAAAGCCATGTTAGCACAACATAGGGAACTCTACTCAATATTCTATAACAGCCCACATGGAAAAGAACCTAAAAAATACATACATATACATGTGTATATGAATAACTGATTCACTCTGCTGCACATGTGAAACTAACACAGCACTGTAAATCAACTATACTCCAATTTAAAAATTATTTTTAAAAAGCCAAGTTAAATTCTACAAAAGCATCCATAAAAAAGAAAATTGTCTCTTGCTTCTTTATGAATCAAAGATAATTAATCCTGGGTTCAGATCCAGGCTGTGGGCCAAAGTTTCCCCATGATTACTTATATGATAAGTTACCATTACATTTATTTTGGTTCAAAATAAAATAATTTTAAAAATTTGGCCCAATCTAGAGAAGAAAATATTCATCAAGTTAGAAATAACAATGTGCCAGTGGGCAGCAAGGGTATAGTACAAACTCAGTGCTGATGGTATTTATTAATAGACACTGATCAGTATTCATCAATAGAATTTGATGACCATGATTTCATGACACAGCAAAGAAATCACAAAAAAGTCTTCTTTGTATTTAATCACAGTAAGTAAATTTCTTAAAAAAAGAACCCATTTTTGAAAACAGATTCCTAGACTGACGGAATGCTTTTAAGAAAAAAATAAAAACCTTGGTGAACGTTCATATGTACGTCCCTGATTTGAGAATCAGTCCATTCACAGACTGGCAGCTTGCCTATAAGCAGACTGGAATAGCCCAGGGATGGACAACATGTCTATACTGAATTAAGGCGCTCCATTCTGCAGTGACCAGATATGCCTTCCCTTCAACCCAGGATGATGGTAAACTGGCATATGAACTTTAAAGCACTCTCCTACCACAGGAAATAAAGCTTCCTCTTTCTGGAAACTCCCTTCTCCTAACCCTTTCAGACGTCTTCACCCTTAACCAGAAGCCTCCATCCTCCATTGTCCTTAGACAATTTCTGTCAAAAACAATGGGTCAAGTTACTAGTAGGATGGATACATGTTATATTTGGACCAAAAATGTAAGTTCAATATTTTCCATTTGTACTTAAAAGAGTATTTGGTGAAATTCACAGATTAAAAAGCATTACCTTTCTGGTCATGGTAGTCCAAAAGCATAGTGTTTTCACCTATAATCTCGACTTGCTCATACCACTGTCTTCCAGAATGAAAAGGCAGGGTCTTGGATTCGTTTAATGGTGAAAGTGACCTAGATCTCATATTGGACGTAAGAGAGGATGGACTAGGAGAGTGAGATGATGGTGGCATCTTTGTTTTGGGAATTTTCTGCTGAGGACCTTTCTTCATTGCAAGAATAAAGCCAGGTAACCATCAAAACCTGTAAGAGTTCCCAGTATATTTAACAAGGTTAATGTTTAGAGCTATCAAAATGATTAGTCTATTTCTAGAATTTTCAAGACTACAAAGTTTCAAATTCAGAAGTTATAGATGCTAGAACCACTACTCCAAGCTGATGGAAGCAGACACTATTTCAGATATTGTTAATTACCTTACCAGAGGGAAGAGAGACCTCCAGAGGGTCTTGTACTGACATGTACTCCAGCCAGAAGCCTCATCTGTCATTTTGGTTCTCAGTTTATTGGACCAAAATAGTCACAGTGCCTCTTCTACTTACAAAGAGTTCTAGAGTGCATAGAGCTGGAAATACTTGACAACCAGCAGTATTTCATGCTGATCAGCACTCTCTCCTTCCTGCAACGGTTTCTTCCTCTGGCTTCTGGGACACCACACTGTCCTCCCGTCTTCCTAGCCTCTCCTCAGCCTCCTTCCCTGGCCAAAGCTCGTCTACTCACTCTTTAAAAGTCAGAGATCCTCAGGTCTCCTCTGATCTCTCTCTAAACTGAGACAATCGAATGTACATGCATGGTTCCCAATGTCACCTTTTTATTGGTATTTATATTTTCAATCCAACATTTCTCTGAGTCCAGACACCTGTTCTCAACTGTCTACCTGATATCCCACTGACATCCTGAATCAACATGTCCAAATTGAACTTTTCCCTCATCCCGCTCATCTTCTTCCCATCCTGTTCCTCCTCCAGCATTCCCTTACTGCAGACAATGCTCTTGGAAATAAGCCAGAAACTGGGAGTCACTTCCTTCTTCCCATAACCAATCAATCACCAAGTTTTGTCAATTCTACTTTCTAAGTATCCCTCAAATTAGTCCCTTTCTTTCTATCTCCCCTCTCAACTACTCTAATCCACACTCATCAAACCACTATAACACCTTCTAACTGATTTGTCTACAAGCTCTCTTCCCGTCCTCTTCCATCACTACGTTGTGGCCAGAGTGATCTAGTTAAAAAATTAATCTATGGGTCTGTAATAAATGAAATATTTATCACGACCTATGAGATCCCCCATGATGTGATCCTGTCTCTCTAGCCTCACATCTGTCACTAGTTTCCTAGACTCTGGGCTGGACCCACACAGACCTCTGTATCTAATTTCTGGTGTTGTAAATGCTCGCCTTTAGTCTTTCTTTTTTTTGATCTTTTTAGGAGTTCTCACCATATGGTCTGCATATTAACTTTAGTCAAATAAATAATCTGCAAGTTTTCTCCCACCCTGTGGTTTCCTTTCGACTAATTGATACTGTCTTAAAAAATAAAATCGGCCCCTGGTGGCTCAGACGGTAAAGCGTCTGTCTACAATGTGGGAGACCAGGGTTCGATCCCTGGGTCGGGAAGATCCCCTGGAGAAGGAAATGGCAACCCACTCCAGTACTATTGCCTGGAAAACCCCATGGATGGAGGAGCCTGGTAGGCTACAGTCCGTGGGGTCGCAAAGAGTCGGACACGACTAAGCAACTTCACTTCACTAAGAAATGAAACTATTTATTTTCAGTGTGCTGGGTCTTCCGTTGCTGCTTGGGCTTTTCTCTAGTTGCAGTGCGAGGGCTTCTCACTGGGGAGGCTTCTCTTGTTGTGAAGCCTGGGCTCTAGGGTGCTCTGGCTCCAGTCATGGGGGCTCCTCTGCTCCAGAGCACAGGCTCAGTAGTTGTGGCACATGGGCTTAGTTGCTCTGTGGCACGTGGGATCTTCCTGGTCCAGGAATCAAACCCGTGTCTCCTGCACTGGCAGGCGATTCTTTAGCTCTGAGCCACCAGGAAGGTCCCTGTGATACTGTCATTTGATACTCATTTAAAATTTTTAAAGAAACCTAACTGGTCTATTTTTCCTTTTGCCGCCTGTGCCTTTGATGTCATATCCAAGAAATCACTGCCAAATCCAGTGGTATTAGGTAGAAGTCCAAATTCAGACAGAGTGCTAGCTGGAGTAATGATGAGAATCAGTTCTTCTCTCAAATTAACTTGTAAGTCAAATCACACAATTAATCTAGTAGAATTTATGTTCCATGAAAGTAGCGCTATTATTCACTGATGTATTCCAGGCCAAGAACAGAGCCTAGAAGATGGTAGATAATTACTATTTATTGAATGAATTGTTCATAAAGAACCTAGAAACAATAAAATGCTATTTAATAATTCAACAAAAGGCTGTCTTCATGAGCAGTATCAGTCCTTAATATCAAGAGTCCTAACATACAAGTTAGGTTTATGCAAAAAACATTTTCATGATATACAACTGCTCTTACAAGTACATTGCAAAAATTATAAATCTGGCAAACTTTTAGACCAAAAGATGTTATAAGATGCATAGGTCTTGAACAAGCTGCATTAACAATGATTCTACTTTGCTCAATATCCATAATCTCCCATACCCTCACTACTGAAGATGTGAAGTGTGTGTATGTGTTAGTCACTCAGTCGTGTCCAACTCTTTGCAAACCCATGGACTGCAGCCCACCAGACTCCTCTGTCCATGGGATTCTCCAGGCAAGAATACTGCAGTGGGTAGCCATTCCCTTGTCCAGAGGATCTTCCCTGCATTTCAGGCAGATTCTTTACCAACTGAGCCACCAGGAAAGCCCTAAAGTGTGAAGACAAAACAGAAACTATTTTTTAGAAAAGTAATCTGCAACCCAAAGTTTTTGGATAGCTCAAATCCTAATGCCAGGGACTTTGCCAGCTGTCCAGTGGTTAAGTTTCCATGCTTCCAATTCAGGGGCTGTGGGTTCAATCCCTGGTCAGGGAACTAAGGTCCCACAGGCTGTGTGAGGCATGGCCAAAAAAATAATAATAAAATAAAAACAGGAAGGAAGGAAAGGAAATAAAAATAAATGGTAGCTTTCAAAAACATTTTAATTTTTTTGAAGGAAAAACAGAAAATTTAATAAACGAAAGCATCACTGAACTCACGATCTAGCGTCTTAAGCTGACTAGTTTGAAGGTAACAAAAACCTGCTAAATTTTTTAAAAAAGTGATTATTATTTCACAGGTATACAGTACAACAAGGCCAACTGCCTTGTTCCAACCAACCATCCAGATCACCTTAAACTGCAAATCTAAGTCTTTACTTTCTCTTTCATTTTTTCATGTCAAATCATCCACAAAGGTCAGAAAAGCTTCCCTCAATTCACACAACTGCTACTGATGTCTTAACCACAAAGCTTCAGGACCTAATTTCACAAGTGTGGCAAACAATTTCTATCTTAACATTCTGCCAAGGCAAAAGTCTCTCAGTAATACACCTCATTCTGTGTTAGATTACACTGGTGCTCTCTTTCTAAGTAATGATATACTCAAGCTTGAAAAGAGCTAAGACACATATGCTTTAATAACACAATTTTATTCATTCCTGAATTAAATACAATTTTCATAAGGGCAAGGGACTTAAGAAATAAAAGAGGAGCGGTAGAGGGCCCAGTTCCCACTTCCATATGTCTCTCTCTGTCTCACAGCATGATATAAAATTATAAAATTAGAATGAGAGTATGCTACATGCTACAGAGATATGCTTTATACACATTTTTAGTTTCTTGGTTTAAAAATGCACATACATCCTACATTTTTATGCAACACAATTATTTTGTGCCCTGCACCTAAGTCTTATCTTTAACTTCTGAAAATATTGAACCATCCTGAATTCCTCTCACAACATCCTAATGACCAAGGCTCTTTGGGCCTCACTAGAATATTATGAGATCTCTCTTGATTAGAAAAACTCTGCCTTACTCAATAAAAGAGTTAAATATATTAGAATGGATTCCAGAAGTCAAAATCAACTCCTTCCTTTAATGAATTGTAACCTGAAAGATTAAATGATGGTTCTGAAGTCACAGTGCATTCCCAGACCCCCTCCCTGGGTCACCATAGCTCCTGTAAAGTCTAGACATATGATCTCACAGAATAGCTAACTCAGTAAAATGGGCTTAGGGATTTACTGTGCTTGAGAAAGGATACCTGGCAATAGTAAAATCTTGAACCACGGTTTTAAGAGAGAGAGCGAGCGATGTTGCTTGACCAAGGCTGTAGTTTGCGATTATATAAACAATAGAAAGACCGAGCAATAGAAAAGAGAAGACAGAGATGAGAGGCAGGGCTAGTGTGTGTGAAGCGGCAGGATAAACTGAAATCAAAACAAGCAAAACAAGTCCAGAGCTGGAGACACATTTTGAAAACCCAGACGGTAAGTCTGCAGAATAAAAGAAAGCCACTAGAATGATGTGATAATCAAAATCATATGATCAAGCATCCCGTCCTTCTCAGACTCAGAAACTTGCCTTGATCTAACAAACCCCTCCACCACAGCTTAGTAGAGTCTACACCTTCACCTCTATCCAGCCTTTCCTAAGATTCCATCATCTCTGATCTTTTCCAAATGAGGCAGACGCCAGTAATTCCCAAATCTTCCATCTCTCTTCCCAGATACTCCAATAAGCAAATATCCATCCCCATTTCTTGACCTCCATATCCCTCTCCATGGCACCCCTTAGCCCTTTAATCACATCTCAGTACTTTCCCTATAATTCGACTTCATCCCATACCCTCTGATCCATTTAAACACTCTTATTCTCCAACTAGTCCTTTCAAATATCCTGACCCCTATTCCTCACCAACAGCAATTCTCCCATTCCATGCTCGTCAACCTTTGCCTCCCACCCTTTCATCCCATTCTGACTGCCAAGTCTTCCCACAAATTCTCTTCCCTAACACTGTACTAGTCTTCTCCATTTCTCTATAGTTCTTTCCAGTGTCCTGCCTCCACATTTCTGTATTCATCCTGATTTCCCAAACTGCTCATCACAGCAAATATTCTGACATCCTAATTCACTCAAATTAGGCTTCTAATTATCCCCTCTTCACACAAAATACTCAAGTCTCCATCCAGTCCACTTCATCTCAACCCAACTGGCTACTTGCCTCTCCCTTCTAACACCCTGGCATCTGTGTTCCTCTGTGTCCCATTAACATCCTGAGCTTTCCTCTCACATCTCTCTCCATGCTACTCAGGTATGGGGGGAAAAAAGCTTCCCAAACCTTCCCGTTAGTTTATTTTTTTTTCAGTCATTCGATTTTATTCCGCAACTTTAAGGCACTAAGAACTGTGCTAGGCTCTAAGAATACAGAGCCGAGAGGGCAGGGCTACCACACTCAAAACACACAACAGGATCAGGTCTCTGACCCAAATAGCATCCTTCACAACACCTTAAAATTAGAATTAAATGATTATTTGTGAAACAACTTGATTATTGCTTGTTCCTCCTTCTAGAGTTTAGGCTACAAGACAGTAGAGGCTATATTGTTTGGTGCACAGTAAGTATTTGTTGAATGAGTGAAGAAAGGACTGTGCTAAGCACTCTAAAGACATTACCAAACAAATTCTCACAGATAATGTATATTATAATTATTAACCTCATTTATAAGTGACAATGTATCGCTAAGAATTAAGAGCTTGAGCTCTACAACTAAGTCTGAGTTCAAATGTTAATTTTCCACTTTCTGTGTGACATAGGCAAATTACTTAACCTCTCTGACCCACAGTTTCATCACTTTTAAGATGAGAATGATGACCTCGTTCAAGTTATTTTAAATCAGTTAATGGGAAAGACTAAAGGACGTAAAACTGAATCTGGCACACAAGGTACACGCAAAAGTAATTAGCGAGTATTTTTACAGAGAAAACATATGCTAAGGAAGGTTAAGAACCAAGCCCAAATCTCACAGACGTTCAGTAGCACAGGTGGCAGAATCAAGACGTGAAGCCAAGCTTTGACTTGAAAATACACCTGTCCCTTAAGCATTATACGACAAAGTATTTGCTCTTCCCTTTCTTTAAGCTTTTCTTCCCCATATCCTAACTCTCCTTTTTCTCCATATACTGGATTCCGCTTGATTTCAGGACGCCCGTCAGGGTACCCGAACCATCCTGTATCCCAGTCACTCCCCGCAGACACTGGCACACCTGCTCCCCCCTCCGCTCGGCAGCGGGACCCTACCTTTCACTCGCCGAACCCCCGCGTCCACACCTCCCCACACTCTGGTCCTTCACCCCAAAGCCCCTACCCCGTCACCTCCTCACTTCTTATCCAAACCTCCCTCCATCTTCGTCCTCCCGCCCCACGCCGGTTCCGGGCCCTCCCCTCCTTCCCATCCAATCCCAATACCCAAGCACACGCCCCCGCCCCGAATCCATCCCTCGCTGGGTCCAGGCCTTCCCGCCTTCGACGCTGGTCCCCACCCGCTCCGCCTGGAGGCCGGAGAACGGCCTAGACCAGGCCTGGCACTCACCACGAAGGAGCGGGGCAGAGCAAGCCAGCCGGACGAGGCCAAGCGGAGGGGGGCCGATAGTTCCCTTCAGGCGCCCAGCGGCGCGGCAGCCATTTTGCTATGTTGTGCCGGTTGCCGTGGGGCCGTGCGCGCCGCGTGGGCGGAGCCTGCCGCGGTCACGCCCCTCCCCGGAGCTTGGGGGCGGGACCAGGCTTCCCGCCTCTTAGTTAGCCAGGCCCGCGGGCGCGCAAAGGCGCGTGGGAGCCCGCGCGAGGCGAGATTTCCTGCTGCAGGCGGCGAGAGGCCCCGCTGTTTTCTCTGAGGCGAAGCGGCCGACTTCTCCTGCTCAGGCCTTGACACGCTCCGCGGGGGCTGGGCCTGAGGACGACCTGAGATACCGATGTAGCTGTGTCACCAAGCCCCCGCATTTCCATTGCTGGCCGTCTGGCTTTGAACTAGTGTGCCTCGCCTCACAGTCCTTCGCACGGCCCGTTTCTGAGGCGAATGCTCTTCGTCAGGGTCCAGACAGGCCAGACGTAGATGAACCTCTGAGGGAACGCAGTTTAGGCTTCAGATGCCCCCGAGGTGACGGGAATGGGAGCAGCCTGGGAGTCCTGGCTGAGAATAGTCCTCAGGTTGTGACAGGGAAGCCAAACTAAGAAACAGTTGAAGAAACGTCGGCTGTGGCTTTCCTGAAAGGGCTGCATTTCACCACATACTTTTAACACATAGTTTAAGAGAATTTAGCCCTTACTATGCGGAATGCTAGGGAAATACTGTGAATTCTTTTTTAAAAACGTGGTCTCTAAGGACACCTTTCCTCTATTCCAGCTTCCCATTTCCCAGCTGGTACCCTGGACTCACCATCGGAGGTTGCACCATCTCCAAAAACCGCCAAAGTAGGCACTACCTCTCCTTTACCACATTCTACAATCTTAACAGCTCGTTTGGAAGACCCCCTCCTAGCACAATTCCTTTCCTTGTGACCTCGAATCCCTTGTTCTTACCAGTTTTCCGTAGTCAGTTCCTTCCTTTCTTCAGAGTTCGTGGCCTGTCAGTGTAACACTGTTAAGAATTCCCTCTTTCTGTACCTCAGTTTCCTCCTCTATGAAACAGGATAATCCTACTCACTTCCTGATAGTTATAAAAGTTAGTGCATGTGGAAGAGTTCTAAGTTCTTTCTTATGTCCTGTAATAAGTTCTCAGTATGTTTTACTTACTTTAGTATTAGGCAAAGTTTTCCCAGAGGAAATGACGCCTTATCCTTAAGTCTTGGAAGAACCAAAGAACTTAGTCAAGGATTATGGGAGTGGGGAAAAATTTGCTTGGCAAAGGGAGCATCTTGTGCAAACCCCAGGAGGAACGGGGATAAGGAGCTTGGCAATGAGCTGACGTTAAATAAATCAGGATGGCAGCCAAAAATCTGGAGTGCAGAAGCTAAAGCAAGAAGAGGGGCCTTATTATGAACCATTTTAAGCACTTACAATTTTTTTGAAAGGCAGAGATGGAATTCAGGAATCAGAAGTTCAGGTAGTTGTCAACAGGGGGCGCCATTCACATTCACGTTTAAGTGAATGATGCTTCTTTTCCCCCCACTAGTATTTAAGCTACACAGGAGACCCTTTGAGCTCTAGAAAAGTCAAAGTTCATGAAAAGCCCCACATTTTAAATTGAAAGGAAGATCTATCCTTTTTTAAAAAAAAATTCTAAGCTCAGATGATATTAGTTTGGAATGTGTACATTGCTGACTGTCAGTTCTATTATTTTTTGTTGTTTTGTTCTGACACTTGTTTTTTTTTTTCTTCTCCTTTCCGACAGAGAATTGTATTTATTGTGTCACTTCACTGCTATACCCCGTAAAGTCTGTAATGATATTCAGGTAGGATCCATTATCAAATCATGGTATGCTGGTGTAGTTCATTATCAATCTAATAAGTAGCTGTAGAAAATATACACAAAGTCCAGAGAATGGTCAGTCAGTCAGTTCAGTCGCTCAGTCATGTCCGACTCTTTGTGACCCTGTGAATGCAGCACACCATGCCTCCCTGTCCATCACCAACTCCCGGAGTTTACTCAAACTCATGTCCGTTGAGTCAATAATGCCATCCAACCATCTCATTCTCTGGCATCCCCTTCTCCTCCTGCCTTCAGTCTTTCCCAACATCAGGGTCTTTTCGCATCAGGTGGCCAAAATTTGGAGAACCAGTGTCCCAAACCAAAGGACTGAGTGTCCATATAAAACTTTCCCAGATTCTTTTCAATAGGTTTATGGAAAGAGAGAAATAGAGGGAATCTCAGGTTCAGTGGTATCGCCTAGCTAAACTTCAGTTTACAGTTTAGAAATGATAAGGCTCTAATGTTTAGTCATTGGCTGAAGCAGGGCAAAGGCTAACAGAGTTTTGCCAAGAGAACGCACCTGTCATAGCAAACACCCTCTTTCAACAACACAGGAGAAGACTCTACACATGACACCACCAGATGGTCAATAACAAAATCAGATTGATTATATTCTTTGCAGCCGAAGAGGGAGAAGCTCTACACAGTCAGCAAAACCAAGACTGGGAGCTGACTGTGGCTCAGATCATGACTCCTTATTGCCAAATTCAGACTTAAATTGAAGAAAGTAGGGAAAACCACTAGACCATTCAGGTATGACCTAAATCAAATCCCTTATGATTATACAGTGGAAGTGAGAAATAGATTTAAGGGACTAGATCTGATAGACAGAGTGCCTGATGAACTATGGACGGAGGTTCGTGACATTGTACAGGAGACAGGGATCAAGACCATCCCCATGGAAAAGAAATGCAAAAAGGCAAAATGGTTGTCTGAGGAGGCCTTACAAATAGCTGTGAAAAGAAGAGAAGCGAAAAGCAAAGGAGAAAAGGAAAGATATTCCCATTTGAATGCAGAGTTCCAAAGAATAGCAAGGAGAGATAAGAAAGCCTTCCTCAGTGATCAATGCAAAGAAATAGAGGAAAACAACAGAATGGGAAAGACTAGAGATCTCTTCAAGAAAATTAGAGATACCAAGGGAACATTTCATGCAAAGATGGGCTCAATAAAGGACAGAAATGGTATGGACCTAACAGAAGCAGAAGATATTAAGAAGAGGTGGCAAGAATACACAGAAGAACTGTACAAAAAAGATCTTCATGACCCAGATAATCACGATGGTGTGATCACTCACCTAGAGCCAGACATCCTGGAATGTGAAGTCAAGTGGGCCTTAGGAAGCATCACTATGAACAAAGCTAGTGGAGGTGATGGAATTCCAGTTGAGCTATTTCAAATCCTGAAAGATGATGCTGTGAAAGTGCTGCACTCAATATGCCAGCAAATTTGGAAAACTCAGCAGTGGCCACAGGACTGGAAAAGGTCTGTTTTCATTCCAATCCCAAAGAAAGGCAATGCCAAAGAATGTTCAAACTATTACACAGTTGCACTCATCTCACATGCTGGCAAAGTAATGCTCAAAATTCTCCAAGCCAGGCTTCAGCAGTATGTGAACCAAGAACTTCTAGATGTTCAAGCTGGATCTAGAAAAGTCAGAGGTACCAGAGAACAAATTGCCAACATCTGTTGGATCATCAAAAAAGCAAGAGAGTTCCAGAAAAACATCTACGTCTGCTTCATAGACTACGCTAAAGCCCTTGACTGTGTGGATCACAACAAACTGGGAAATTCTTCAAGAGACAGGAATACCAGACCACCTTTCCTGCCTCTTGAGAAATCTGTATGCAGGTCAAGAAGCAACAGGTAGAACCAGACATGGACTGGTTCCAAATTGGGAAAGGAGTACTTCAAAGCTTTATATTGTCACCCTGCTTGTTTAACTTATATGCAGAGTGCGTCATGCAAAATGCCAGGCTGGATGAAGCACAAACTGGAATCAAGATTGCCAGGAGGAATAACAATAACCTCAGATATGCAGATGACACCACCCTTATGGCAGAAAGCGAAGAACTGAAGAGCCTCTTGATGAAAGTGAAAGAGGGGAGTGAACAACCTGGCTTAAAACTTATCATACAAAAAACTAAGATTATGGCATCTGGTCCCATCATGGCAAATATATGGGGAAACAATGGAAACAGTGAGAGACTTTACTTTCCTGGGCTCCAAAATCACTGCGGATGAAATTAAAAGACATTTGCTCCTTGGAAGAAAATCTATGACCAACCTAGACAGCATATTAAAAAGCAGGGACATTACTTTGCTGACAAAGGTCTGTCTAGTCAAAGCTACAGTTTTTCCAGTAGTCATGTATGGATGTGAGAGTTGGACCATAAAGAAAGCTGAGTGCTGAAGAATTGATGCTTTTGAATTGTGGTGTTGGAGAAGGCTCTTAAAAGTCCCTTGGACTGCAAGGAGATCAAACCAGTCAATCCTAAAGGAAATCAGTCCTGGATATTCATTGGAAGGACTGGGGCTGAAGCTGAACCTGCAATAATTTGGCCTCCTGATTTCGAAGAACTGACTCATTGGAAAAGACCCTGATGCTGGGAAAGATTGAAGGCAGGGGGAGAAGGGGACGACAGAGGATGAGATGGTTGGATAGCATCACCAACTCGATGGACATGAGTTTGAGCAAACTCTGGGAATTTGTGACGGACAGGGAAGTTTGGTGTGCTGCAGTCCATGGGGTCACAAAGAGTCAGACATGACTGAGCGACTGAACTGAGCTGAACTGAACTGAACTGAGGGTTTCTGAAAAGAATGTGGCCTCAGCTTAAAAGCTAAGGTGGGGCTTGAAGGCATTAATAGTTGGAGGCTGTCAGTGAATATACCCCTTGCAACTGATGGCAAGTTCATTACTCATGGGAAATCTGAGCAGCCCATCACCATGACTGCCACGCTGTTTTGACCACTGAAGACACTGCTCTGTTGCCAGAATGCACAAGGTATGTGCTGAGGGTGTAAATAAGTACCTGATGGCTGGGGTGCTTTAGTTGTACTGTGGGAGGAGTCTCCTGAACCAGGAGGTCCTGGCCCTTGTCATTTTTTCTTTTTTTTTTTTTCCAGTTTTAGGATATATGATTGACTGTCTTGTCATTGTTAATGCTAATCACCACTGTAACCAATTAAAAACCATACTACTGAGGTCTTGTCTCTTAATGCCCTTTGAAGATTTGTGCATTTTTAGCCAGGCTGTTATTAGGGTTTCATGGGACTCAAGCATGAGTCTATTGACGCTGAGTCCAAGGAAAGTCAGAAGGCCAGACAGTGAGCTATTATCAGAATTATCTTCCCAGCTCTGTGTAACTCAATGCAGGAGCTTGAATTCCTCCTAATTCTCTCTTATAATGACTTCTAAAGATCTCCTTAGTAATTAGGCCTTTGATGGCCTTCACTTAGAGTGACACTTAGGTTCTGGCTCGTAGGTTTAAAGGATAAAGTGAGAGAGACCAAACTGAATCTTAGGAGATGATCCCTTAGTATTCCCCTATAATCCTTCCCCTTATTGAATATTGAAAATAATGTCTCCTCTTTCATTTGTGACTTTAGCAATTTGAGTCTTCTCTTTTTTCGTAAAGAGCTTAGCTAAAACTGTTAGTTTTGTTGATCTTTTCAAAGAACCAGCTTTGGTTAGGTTGATTTTCTCTATTGTTTTTCTACTCTTTTGTTATAATTCAAG